TGGTATCTCTTATCTTGCTCTCCTCTATTCTTCCCCAGACTCAACCTTTCTGCTCCTGCATGTCTCCTCACCCCTTTTCTTTTCCCCTTCTCATTGTCCTAGCTCTGGTTAATTTTTACACATTTCAATATTTTATGAGTGCTAGTATTAAGTATTCTGTATCTTCAATTTGTACTACTGGATTTTATTTTTTAACGGAAATTTTGTTCTTTTAATATAAAATATAAAAATTTAAAAATTGGCTTTGTTTACAATCAGCCTATTAAATGTCTCCAGTATTGCTCAAGTGCTTTTGAGACATTGATACTCTAAATAAACCTGTCAAATTACCTTTCTATGGCCATGCAAGTTGCTCAGAGATTCCATGTTGTTATAACATCATATGGTAATATATTAGCATAAAGAATGTTAAGAAAAGAGCAATCCCATATATGAAGGAACACACTTTCCACTAAGCTCCCCACTAATCTCAGTGTAACATGGGGTACTACAAACATTTTTCAAATATTTTAATATTTTTACGATCCCTATCACCTATCACATACAACCGAGTGCAAAATACTTATGCGGAAAACAAACTACTTAAGTGTTCCTTCTGTCTTATCCATGCTAGAGTATGAAACTGGTAATATCATTACGTTTCAAGCAAAAACAGTCTGTGTCTAAGTCTAATTGACCATTATGATCATACATCATGCTGGCTTTGGAAGCAACAACAATTTCACACAAAAGAGATGTAAGAAATTGTTGAGAATAATTCTATCATTTTACAGAAGAGCAAACTGTGGTCCCTGGGGTAGTGGAAATTCCATTACTGATATAGAAGCAAACATTAACAGAGCAAATAGATTTTGAATTCAGTGAACTTTTTCACAAATCTGGTCTTTTTCTGATACTGCACTACCTACAAACTCATGTTCATTAGACATGGAAAAACACAGAAGCCCATACTCAACAGAAAAAATCTCTTCTTGTGTCCTTACAAATTGTTTATGAGTATCAGAGTGGATCATTTTATGTAATTAAAGTTGTGAAATGAATACCACTAGAATTTGCAACTATTAAGCTAACATTGTGCTCTTCCTCTATATATAGATCAGAAAATTACTCTGAGAAAATAAAGGCCTAAGTAGCAAAGATTTGCTCTAAGTTTGTATGGAAATTTGGAAGTCTCTTGGGATCTAGCAAGATTTTTACCTGTCATGGGGCTATGCCATGAACAGAATATTTTTTAATGATCTGAACTACAGAATCACTTACTGACTTTCATATAATGTCATTCATTTACATACTCATGCATATATTTGCATGCTTCTTAATGTGATTAAAGAGACAAAAAGACATTTAAGGCATTGTTCAGCTAATAATTTCGTTAATGTGCATTTGTGCCAATACTAGATTTCTTAAGAGTGCCTGTTGAAATATGTAACCATCAGCTGTTAAAGTTAAAAAGACATCTTTTCTCTGTAAGTATAGTACCTTCATTGCTGAACAATACTTAATGACAAAATTAACTTTCCTTCTTTCCTTTAATGACTTTCTTTCATTTAAAATGTTGGACTATACAATCTAAAGCACATCCACACAAAAGAATGTGGGTTGAGTTCATCCTTAGTACATCCGGAATACACTCTAAATCATAAGAAAGTTATGGGAGGAAATTAGAAAACTCCTGTTATTGTTGAGAAGGCTGGAATTTGCATTTTTAAGATTAAAAAGAGCCTAACTTGACTATGCTAAAAAATTAAACAAATATTTTCTGGAAATTTAGAAAACAGAGTAAAATGCAAGCAATCTCCCAGTCTCTGGGATAACCTTGATTCACCTCTTGCCCACTGCAACTTAATAATTGAAGTCCTAATTTATTTAGAAACCATCTGATATTGGAAGAGATGATATTAAAATGTTACATTTATACATTCCTTCATTATTAACTAGTTAACAAACTGGATTTTACATTCAGAAATTGTAAAGATTTTTCCTTCTGAACTGCGGCATTTCCTCCTTGTGCCTGGAAAACAAAAGCAACTTAGAAGGCCAGCAATTTCATGAGACTCTTGCAGTATTTGCTAAGGGATCATCAGTAGGAAACTACACTCAGAAGCTGGGAACTTCAGTGCAGATGGCTGAAAGCCTGGTGGGGTTACTCCAAGGATGCAACATTCCGTTTTTGACCAGTGCCAAAGGGCATTTTGCTGTGCAACCACCACTGAGTCCCCCATACCGGTAAATTATGCCTCAGTTATGATTCTGTAAGAAATTGCAATAAAGTCAGTGGCTCACCAAGGAAGACTTGACTGGACTCATTTTTAATGTTTACAGTAGATTCCACTTCTGGTATATTTGTTGATGTACACTTTTAACAGCTTGAAGTTCATATTTACTTAATTATATTACATTATTTTAAAATGATTATCACTTAATATTGTCTTCTACAATCAAATGAGCTTCAATGTAGATCTCTGGGACCATTAGAGTAAATATTAAACTAGCATAGTTCCCCATCAAAACTTAGGAGCCTAGGACAAGGCATCTCCCCTCATAAGCTAAGTGCTTGTGATAACTGTTCCCAATGTAAACCTTCAAATGACTGTGGATCCAATTTCAAATAAAAGCAAAATGATAAAACTTTATTTTAAAATCCTTAGGCACAATGCAAGAATATTCAGGAAAATTTTATTTGGCTTTAATTTCACTGGCTATTCAGCGTCTAATCATATTTTAAACAAAATTTAAATCTTTCCTAATCATTACAATTTTTAGAAGACTTTTCAGAATATGTTTAGTCAAAATCTGAATTTTATTAAGGTAGGCCACCTGAATGAGGTAGAACAAGGGACAAGTCACTGATTAAATATGATTTTTTCCAATGGTAAACACACACATGACTAGTGCATGTTTTAATTAACAACTATGAACATTTTAAACAAATATATAAAATCAAATATAACTCCTAAGTTGGGATCATATTGATCAAGCTTCACACACTCAAATGAACTCTTTGGGCAATGAGACATTTGATCAATTGAAATATCTACTTTTCACATGCATATAAATGTGGATTTTTGTCTAATAAACTAATAAGTGAATCTAAAAATAAAAACATGTTGATTAAGTTCAACATTTCTAGACCAATATGGCTGTTAATTTTTGTACAATACCAACTCAACAAGGTAAACTGGGATACTTTTTTTCCAAAGTTGACAGCACAGTGAAAGTTTCCAAATATTCAAATTATATACTTATATTTATATTTATATAAAAAAGACCAATAGTGGCAGTATGTTATGCATCAATAGCAGCAACAGATTTTCCAGGTTCTGCAGTCAGTTGAACAAAATTGTAGAGACATCCAGCACTCTCCATTTAAAAAAAAATGTTGATTTTTATTTTATTTGCTTATGGTCCAACTTCTGTTAATGCCTATGTTAAAAACACTTTAGAAAAAATAAAACTATTGTAAAAGGAGTTCTTACTTAGTCTAGATAATAAAAAGTCAGAGTCAGATATAGAGGGAAATGCTGAGATCCGAAAGAAGGAGTAAGCCACAGCACAGCTTACCTCCTAAGTATCTCAGGAGAGAAGAGAGAGACTTTTCTGTTTCTCCCTGCTTGTATCCTGTTTCTGTCCAGCTAAGTCACTTCTTGCCTGTCTCTACAGACTTCCCAGACCTCTATGGTTAGTTAGTGGCAAGCTCCATTCTCTGACCCCTAGAAGGCTTTATTTTTGTAAGAAAGATATCACCACAAACTCTTAACATGGGGTCAGGGGTGGGGGAGGATGGGTGAGGATGAGGGGAGGTAGAGGGAGAAGGGATTGATAAGTGAAACAGGCTTGTTCCTAATTTGAACTAATAATAAAAAAGAAGCCTAAGGCATTTGCCAAACAGTTTATATTTAATATCAGTCTGTGTATATCTTTGGGGTTAAACCGCTGTGAGACCAGGTGGAGCAGAAACTGCATCCACATCAGGGTTATTAGTTACATTGATTAAATATGATGTCTCCATTCCATTAAGAGCACATGTGTACCACTGTACCTGTTAGCAGGTCAGAATCCAAATCCAGGAAGCCAGTTTTCTCCTTCCTTCACATGATCTAGATATAAAACATGAAATATCAGGCTTTCATGGCAGACATCTTTATGCACTCAACCATTTTTTTGGACTTAATATGTATTTTATGCAGAATCTGATGGCAAATTTGTCTTGTTGAAGACATAAAAAATTAGAATAAAGAAAATGAAACAACAACACCAACAACTAAAATAAACAAGTAAATTGCATTCTGGATTGAGCAGTGAAAGATGGATCATCATAGGCTAATTGAGAAAGTATTTCATCAGGGGCTGAAGGAAATGGGAGCACTTTTGTACTAACAACCTTCACTTTAATTTTTCTTTTCATTTTTATAAGACCAAATTATATATTCGTTGTGATATTTAATGTGAAAGCACCTTTACTTTATGTGTTTACAGATATACAATCAACAAGACCTATTGCTGAAAACACAGTTGACATGCTTAAAATTTGGAGGTTTGAATACTCAACTTATTTTTTCACCTTTATTTGACATTTACAAACAAATGTTTAAATGCTACATTGAAAGATTTGAATTTATAATGCACTCCAAAAGATCCAGCTTTGTTTACTATTGTATCATACTTTGGAAAAAAAGATGGTTATAAGGAAGAATATGGAGAAGGTATTTTAGGAGATATGCTTCATTTACAGGCAGATATCATAAAGAGTATGAATTTTCATTCTAGGAAATCGCCATTCTCAGTTTGAAAACTTGGCATCTTTGTCACCACCAGCCAGTAACGTATCTACTGAGATGAGGACATACTGAATTTGGAAGGGATTTTATATTTTTCTGGGCTTAAGAAAGAAAGTATATATTCTTGATCATGTTCAAATGTTATCTAGTGACTACAACATACATTACTGTCTCTGGAAAGTATTTCAAATTCTTCAATACCCATCAGTACTATTTTAAGGTCCAGTTAAACTGACACTTTGCTTCCACTCTCCAATCCCCAGGCTGGGTAGGGCCCTCAACTGGGGCTCCCCAAAGTCTACTACATCATCCTAGGCAGGGCCTAGGCCCTTCCTCATGTGTCCAGGCCAAAAGTGCATCCCTTCACTTGTAATGGGCTATCAAAGTCCTTTCCTACACCAGGAAAAAATACCAATCCAAGTTCTCTCTTAATTATTAACCCATTTATATTAAACTATTTATTGCCATGAGGATGTGGCATACCCATAATCTGACATGTTATCCCTTTGGCAACATGTCAACTCCCTGGAAGTTTCTCTCCACCTCTTCTCCCCCGGATACTAGTGATCTGGTATCCCCACCTTCTTTCCTGCCTGGTTACTGGATAATCAGTGTTTTATTCATCAACCAATGAGAGAAACACATACACAGAAGAACATCCCCAATCACTCCAACTTGACTTTCCTAATATTTGAGAGCCATCTATATCATTTGAGATAAGTCAATCTTTCCACAATCTAGGATTCATGAAGTCAAGTCACTGACATTTGCTGAAATTAACTAAGTTAATCAACGAATTTGAGATCATTGGAAAATGTTAACTTTAAACTGAATGATTTTCATCATATAAGATTCATTAAAGATGAATAAAATCAATTATTCTATGAAAATATTAGCCATCTATGTGTTTTGTGTAATGGAAATTAACTTAGTTTCATATTTAATAGTATACAAATTATCTTTCATTTTACTATTGACAGGTATTATGGGATGTTATTTCTTGTTGTTGTTAAAGCATTTATAATGAACATTCATTGTTCATAGCTTCTGGTCCATTTGGAATTTTTGTCATGTATTCAAAAAGAGAGGAATTATTACTAAGATTATGGTTAGTGGTTCATATTATTACCTGTTTAGATGGCATACAATTATTTTTCCTTTTTAATTTAAATAAGAAACAAGCTTCTTTTACATGTCAATCCTAGTTCCCTCTCACTCCTTTCCTTCCTTGACCCATACAAACACCCTATCCCACCCCCTTTCTGCTCCCCAGGGAGGGTAAGGCCTCCCCTACCCCATATCCCAATCCATTTCTGCTCCCAAGGGAGAGTGATGCCTTCCATGGAACATTTTACAGGTCTATTATATCATTTGGAGGAAGGCCTAGGCCCTCCCCATGTGTCTAGTCTGAGAGAGTATTCCTCTATGTGGAATGGACACCCAAAGTTGTTTCATGTACTAGGGATAAATACTGATCCACTGCCAGAGGCCCCATAGAAAAACCAGACCTCCAAACTGACGTCCACACACAGGGCTTCTGGAACAATCCAATTTTGGTTTCCCAACTATTAGTCTGGGGTCCATGAGCTCCTGCTTGTTCAGGTCATCTGTTTCTGTGGGTTTCACCAGCCTGGTCTTAACCCCTTTGCTCTTCACTCCTTCCTCTCGGCAACTGTATTCCAGGAGTTCAGCACAGTGTTTAGGTGTGGTGTCTGCTTCTGCTTCCATAAGCTACTAGATGAAGGCTCTAGGATGGCATATAAAGTAGTCGTCAATCTCATTATCAGAGTAATTGCTGAATCTTGTGGTAGACTGATTCCCATTTTCATGAGCAACCACGATACGGATTCTCAAAGTGGCTGTGTTTGTACTTCCTCCAGCAGTGGAGGAGTGTTGCCCTTTCTCCACATGCTCTCCAGCATAAACTGTTGCTGGTGCTTTTGATTTTTAGCCATTCTGAAAGGAGCAAGATGGTATCTCAGAGTTGTTTGGATTTGCATTTCCCTGATTGCTAAGGATGTTGAGCACTTTCTTAAGTATCTTTCAGCCATTTTAGATTTCTTTATTGAGAATTCTCTATTTAGTTCTGTACCCCACTTTTTAATTGAATTATTTGGTGTTTTGGTGATTAGCTTCTTGTGTTCTTTGTACATTTTGGAAATCAGCCCTTTCTCAAATATGGGATTGCTGGAGATCTTTTCCCATTCTGTGGGCTGCTGTTTTGTCTTGTTAATGTGTACTTTGCTTTACAGACTCTTCTTACTTTCAGGAGGTTACATTTATTAATTGTCAATCTCAGTGTGTGTGCTACTGGTGTAATGTTCAGGAAGCTGTCTCCTGAACTAATTCGTTCAAGGATACTTCCCATTTTCATTTCTAAGAGGTTCAGTGTGGCTGGATTTATGTTTAGATCTTTGATCCATTTTTGACTTATGTTTTGTGCATTGAATAGATATGGATCTATCTGCATTCTTCTACATGCCAGCATCCAGTTGTGCCAGCACCAATCATTGAAGATGCTTTTCTTTTTTCCATTGTATAATTTTAACTTCCTTGTCAAAAAAATCAGGTGTTCATAGATGTATGCGATAATATCAGGATTTTATACTTGATTCCATTGTTCTACCTGTCTATTTTTGGGCCAATACTAAGCTGTATTCAAGATTATAGCCCTGTAATAGAGCTTGAAGTCAGGGGTGGTAATGCCAACTCATTGTTTCATTGATTCTTTTTATTGTTTTCTTTATTTCTACTTTATTGATTTCAGTCTTCAATTTGATTATTTTCTGCAATCTACTCCTCCAGGATGAGTTTCCTTTCTTTTGTTCTAGAGCTTTCAGTTGTGCTGTTAATTCTCTAGTGTGACTATTCTCCAGTTTCTTCATCTGGGCACTTAGTTCTATGAACTTCCCTCTTAGTACTGCTTTCAAAGTATCCCATAAATTTGGGTATGTTGTGTCTTCATTTTCAATAAATTGTAGCAAGTCTTTAATTTTTTTCTTTATTTCTTCCTTGACCCAGGAATGGTGCAATTGTGCATTGTTGTATTCCCATTAGTTTGTAGGGTTTCTGCAATTTGTGTTGTTGAATTCTAATTGAAACATGGTAGTCTGATAAGATACATCGGATTATTCAATATTTTTGGATCTGTTGAGGTTTGCTATGTTGCAGAGTATGTCGTCGATTTTAGAGAAGGTTTCTATGGAGATGAGTGTTATTATTTTGCGTAAATTAGTAGTTGCTAAATGGAGATGGAATATGAACATTGGAGGGTACATTAAACATAAAGTTTATTACAGGGTGAGGAGGGAGAGACAGAAATGGAAGAACAGAGCGGGTCAGAGGGTAAGAGAGAATAATTAATGGAAACACACACACACAGAGAGAAATACACAGAGACAGAGAGAATTAGTGCTTGACCACTGAAAAGAGAGAGAGAGAAGAGGGATGAGGTCACAGGCTCAAAATGGTGAGATCTTGCATGTGCACTGAGTCCCTATGCAGCCCCATTATGAGTGAGGTAGCCATGATGTGACAACACAACACAGGGCCCTTTAAGCTGTCCAGGTATCTGTCTGAACCTTTCTCTGATAAGAAGGTATGTTCTTTGGTGTTTGGATGGAATGTTCTATAGATGTCTGTTAAATCCAATTTAGTCATAATTTCTCTTATTTCTTTTTTCCTTTGTTAAGTTTCTGTCTAGTCCTGACAGTGGAGTGTTGAATTTTCCCATTATAAGTGTGTGAGGTTTTATGTGTGACTTGAGTTTAGTAATGTTTCTTTTACAGAAGTGGGTTCCTTCTCATTTGGGGCATAGTTTTCAGAATTGAGCCTTCATCCTGATGGATATTTTCCTGTGATGAATATGAAATGCCCTTCTTCATTTCTTTTGATTGATTTTAGTTGGAATTCTAAATTTTAGATATTAGGATAGCTACACCAGCTTGTTTCTTGGGACCATTTGATCAGAAAATCTCATCCCAAACCATTACTCTTAAGTAACATCTGTCTTTGAAGTTGAGGTATATTTCTTGTACATGGCTGAAGGATGGATTTTGTCTTCATATCAATTCTTTTACCCTGTGTCTTTTTATAAGTGAGTTAAGACCACTAATATTGAGGAAATTAAGGACCAGTGACTGTTAATTCTTGTTTATTTTGGATTTGTTGTTGGTAGTGTTATTGTGTAGAATAACACAATCTAATCGTTTTTGGGCTTTTGATAAAGGGGGATAATCTATTGCCTATGTTTTTGTGGGAGAAGTTAATTTCCTTAGGTTGATGATTTCCTTCCAGTACTTTCCGTAGGGCTGGATTAGTAGATATATTGTTTAAATCTGTTTTTGTCATGGAATATCTTGTTTTATCTATCTATACTGATTGAAAGCTTTGCTGGGTATAGTACTCTGGGCTGGCATCCATGGTTTCTTTGTGTTTGTAGAATATCTATCCAGGACCTCCTGGCTTTCACAGATTCCATGGGGAAGTCAGGTGTAATTCTAATAGGTTTGCCTTAATATGTTATTTGAACTTTTTCCTTTGCTGCTCTTAATATTCTTTCTTTATTCTGTATGTTTGTGGTTTTTATTATTATGTGGCGAGGAGGGATTTTTGTGGTCCACTCTATTTGGTGTTCTGTAAGCTTCTTGTACTTTCATTGGCATGTCTTTCTTTAGGTTGGGAAAGTTTTCTTCTATGATTTTGTTGAATATGTTTTCTGCACTTTTGAGTTGGTTTCTTCACCTTCTTCTATACCTATTATTCTTAGATTTGACCTTTTCATGGTATCCCATATTTCCTGGATATTTTGTGTTAGGTGTTTGTTGGACTTAGATTATCTTTGATCTATGAATCTATTTCTCCAAGTGTATCTTCAACACCTGAGATTCTCTCTCCCATATCTTATTTTCTGTTGGTTAAGCTTGCATATTTAGTTCCTGATCATTTACCCAGCTTTTCTAGTACTAGCATTCCCTTAGACTGTGTTTTTTTCTCTATTTCATCTTTCAAACCTTGTAATATTTGAATTGTTATTTTGCAGTTTTTTTTATTTGCCTTTTCCTCCACTTCTTGAAATGTTTTTGTGTGTTTTTTCTTTCATTTCTTTAAAGGATATTCTCATTTCCTCTTTTAGTGTCTCTATCATCTTCATGAAGTTGTTTTTAAATTTGTTCTTTTCTGATTCATCTGTGGTGGGATGGTCAGGTCTTTCTGGTGTAGAGTCCCTAGACTCCAGTGGCCTCATATTGGTTTTTAGGTTGTTGAATGTGTTCTTATATTGTCATCTTCCTATCCCTTCTTCCAGTTGGTGCAGGTGGGGTCTCTTCCTCTTTGGGTGGGTACAGGTCCAAAGTTATCTTCTGGTTGGTAGAGGCAGGTCCAATTCTCTAATGCATCTCACTAGAGAGTCTGAGACACTCCCTCTCCATATGGTTGGAGGAAGGACTAGCACTGAGATGTCAGGAGACACTGAATGGCTTGAGTTGACCTGCCTGCAATCCTCAGGACAGGACATCCCAAAGCGGGCAAGTGGAAGACAGGCCTTAGACAAGGGACCAAGCTCACCTCTCCCCTGAGTGTGGGCAGGACTAGTGCAGGATGTCAGCAAAGTCTGGTTTGCTTGATCTACTATTGGCAAATCGACCTGCCTGCAGTCCCCAGGCCAGGAAATCTTAGCTTGCATGCCTCAGTATCTGTACAGCACAAGGATACAATTTTTTTGAATGCTTGTATTAATTGTACTATGGTAAATATATGAGTATTTTTTCCAAATTTCCAAAATTTAATATTTTCTAAAGACATATTTTGCAATTTTTCATGAAAATTATCATAACTTCAGTTATTTAAAATCTATTCCTAAATGCTAGTAAACTTTAATGTGTTTTATGATTTATGTACAATTTGAGCTTCCTGTTGCTTGTAATAGTTGCTAATTACAGTCTCACTTGTGTTACTTTAACTGTATTGATTTTCAAAAACACTGCATGCTTGCCTTTTGTTAACCATACATGCAAAATGTGTCCTTAGCTTGTCTAGCATCTTTTGCTTTAAGATATACTGTGAATAATTTATTCAATTTGCTATAGTATATGTTACCAAATTTTCTTTTGTTATATTTTGGATCTTACAAATATTGTTAAAATGATAATATTTGTTTATATTTTACTCTAAATATTTTAAAATTTCTATTCCTAGTTACATTTTGATATCATGTGTTTTTGTTCATGATGTGAATTAAGAATTTCCTTCCATACATTGTTGTAAGATTTAGTTGTTCGCCAGGTGGTGGTGGCACACACCTTTATTCCCAGAACTCAGGAGGCAGAAACAGGAGGATCTCTGTAAGTTTGCATCAGTCTGTTCTATACTGATGTGAGTTCCTGGACAGCCAGGACTGTTTGAATGCTTCACAGAGAAACCCTGTCTCAACAAAGAAGAAAAAAATGAAGAAAAGGCAAAAAGAAATAAATGAAGGAAGGAAGCAAGAAAGAAAAGAAGGGAGGAAAGAAGAAAGAAAGAAAAATAGAAAGAAAGAAGAAAGAAAGAAGGAAAGAAAGAAAGGAAGAAAGAAAGAGAGAAAGGAAGTAAGGAAGGAAGGAAGAGAGTTGTTTTTCTAGTACAGCATACTAACCTTGAATGGGGACAAAGAAAGCTCTTTGTTTCCACATTGGTCTCTCCTCCTCCATTCCGTTCATGCTTTCTTCCTTTCCTTTCTTTCTTCGTCTCTTTATTTCTCTTTCTGGGATAACCCCACTTTTTCTGTGGTAAGATTAAATATATACAGCATAAAATGTAATATTTGGGATACTGTAAGTATACAGCTATGTTACACCAATTTCATTTTCATTGGGAGCAAGCCCCACCCCAACTATCCATTCCCAAAATTTCATATTCTCCACCTAAAGCTTGGCTCACTATTTTCCTTCATTATTTACTATGGCAGCCCTCTGATTTAACAAAATTTCATATACATTTAAACCACACCCAGATATTAATTACCCTTTGTGCTAAACCATTGGCCCATACATGCACTGACACTATACTCTCTGCTCTATACATAATTCACCTTTGCATCATATAACATTCATTTATGTTATATGATGAGCTTAGTTTCTTTGACACTGCTGGTGGTGGATTCTTTCACTGATTATTTTATTTTCACTTTTTTACAAATGTCTAAGCAGTTATATTATAATTATTAGTCTATAAATTTTGAGACTTGGGTATCAATTTCCATACCCACATAAAATTAATGGGATCATGATTCTGATCAGGATTGACTGATGAAATGTAATTCTGGAAACTCTCATCTTTGCGAAAATACATGACAATTGTTTGTCTTCCATTAATATCCATCTTCCTCACATTTACCATTAAATTTTATGTTTGTCTAGAACACATTTTACATTTTCTTATGTTAAAATACTGGTAATAAGGGATTAGCTCTCACAAATTATATTGTTATTACCAGAAAATACTTAAAATTATAAATAATTAAATAATTTAGACTCTCAGTAATATTTCTTGAAGACAAATGGTATACAAAGATACCTATTCATAGGACAGGAATAGAGTATAAGTATCATTGTAAATGGCATCAAAACATAATTCCTTATATATGGCCAATACACATACTGAAAAATGTTTGACCTCACTAATCCATCACATAATGCAAAGCAAAACAACACTGACTCTGTATATTACTCCGATTAGAGTGTCATTCAGGGAATCAAACAAATGCTGCTGTTTTTGTGTAGAATAGGAAACTCTTCACTTTTGTTGGCAATATAAACTATACTACCCTGTATCAAAATCTTAAGGAAATTTCACAAATAATAGAAAATCTACTTATTTCATGCCCCAGCTATATATCATCTGGGTATTTATATGAAAGACACAAGTCAACAGAAATACTTAACACAATCAAGTGTATGTAACCAGTATTCAAAAGAGTAAAGTGTTGAAACTAAGGTAGGTGTCCAACAAAAGAGGCCTGAAAAAACAAAGTACAGTATATATGCACAATGGAATGCTTTATAGACATAGAGAAGAATGGAGACATGTAATTTGTCATAAAAAACACAAATGGTAAAAATAATCTTAATGAAGAAAAGTAGTTGCAAAAAAATGTTATTTTTTTCTCATTTGTTTTTGCTGGATTTTATATATAAATTTATGTGAAAATACTATCTAAAGATTAAATGAACGTAGTAGTGTAATTGTCTAGGGTAACAAAAAAAAATGGGGGAGTAGAATGAGGATAGTATAGAACATGGATGGGGTGTATGATCAACAGTATATATTTGCATGTATGTATTCACATAGACACACACACACAAAAATAAAACACACAAACACATAAAATTTCCCTGTTGTCTCTGTGCTGTCTCTGTCTGGATTCTGTTGAAAGCAGTATTTGAAACATAGTCTTATTCTAAAAAGATGCATATCCATCATTGAATCATGATAGAAGTGAGTTTTCAGGAGCCTGTATTGGAAAGCCTTTGAAAATATCACCATAAAACATCTGCTAAGGCAGAGTAATTATCCATGATTTCCAAACACCCTGGTGGGGGGTTTATTCTCTACACTTTCATGTTGTACATGCAGGAGGCAAGCAGGTCCCCACAGACCACCCATACCAACACATAACGCCCTGGGAAAGAAATAGATAGATTGTTTTCTTTTTCCAAAGTTAAAATTGCCATCTTTTATTATTCTTTTCTTACCTCCAAAGTCTCCTACACACAATGGGTGGAGCACAAACACATTAAGAGATGCATAGAGGTGCATAGAAAATCAATCAATAAATAAATCTTTAAATTATTTATTTTTCAGATTCTCCACTCTTTTATTTGTGAATGATTCTTCCAAAGATATTAAATTTTATTTGGCAGTTTTGGTGTGTTCAAGGACAGATTTTATTATATATATAGTTTGTATTTTATTGTACTTTTTAGGTTTTGTTTAAATATGTGCTTGCTTGAGTTTGTTTCCCACATTTATGTGCTTAGCTTCAGATTCCAGAAGAGGGCACAAGATCCCGCAAAGAGGACTTATAGTCAGTTGTGACTTGCCAAGTGGGTGCTTGGAAATGAACCCTGGCTTATCCATTGAACCATCTCTCTTGCAACTGGAAGGTTGTAGTCTGACCTACCAAAGAATGTACACTACATCTATAAATTTACAACTGTATGCATTCAATGAAATACCTACAGAGTCATGTAATTGACCTTTGCACATTACAACAACAACATTACTGGCTTTTATCACAGTAAAAGAATGTCTATGAATCTGTTGATTCATTAGGACAATCAATAAAGTTCAGGAAAATGTTCCTTAACATTATCTACTTAGCATTTTTCCTCAAAAATGGCATTGTAATTTGGCTGAATACTGTGAAGAGAGGTGCTCACTTGGCAGAAATCTTTTGTCACAGGAAAAACCCTACAATATACAACTCAGGGTTCTAGAACCTTTTTTTCAAAGTAAGGTGTGGCTAAACTCTCCAAATAATAATCAAAAAATAGTAAATTCTGAATCTTTCTATTGCTGTGTTTTCTGTCATATGCAAGCAATCAAATGTTTAGTAAGAGTGGCAGATTTAAAGGTTATCTGTAAATCTCTGATATACAAATAAGCCACAGTTTCTTCTTTCCTGCCCCTGACCTTGAAAATTCAGTAAACTTTTGTGTTGAGGCAAGAGTTTTGTAAAATACTTTGCATATGTTTTTAATTTTTAAAACATATTCTGTAAAGAAAAAGTTACAAAATGAAAATAGTGGTGTCTATTGTTGACTGCTGAATGGAATGCTAGCAAGGAGCAAACAGCGGTGAAATCAACACCAGAAACCTGTCTTTCTTTTCCAGACCCCAGTACCTAAAATAAAAGAGAGAGAGGCAATGGTCTGTTTTGTCATTGTTTGCTTGTTTCATTGATGTTTCATATTTTGTTAATTTGACACAAGCCAGGGTCACTGAGAAAACTTTATCTGACACAATTTCTCCATCAGATTAGCTTATAGGCAAGCCTGTGAACCATTTTCTTGAGAAGTGATTGACATGGGAATTGCCAGCTGACAGTGGTGTTGCTATCCCCGGTTAGCTCATCCTGGGGTGTATAGAAAAGAAGACAGAAGTGAAGGAAAGCAAGCCAATAACTAGCATTCCACCATGATCTAGCTTCAGTTCTTGCCTGCAGATGCTTGCCTTGACTTGACCTAATGATTGACCACAACCAGTAAACTTACCAAATCCTTCACCCCACATATTGCTTGTGGTCACATTGTTGTTTATCACAGCAATAGGAACCTATGTAGAACAAAGAGAATGGATCAATAGACAATACATTTAAAAAAACTGAAAGTAGCTGAAGCTAAGGAAAGCCACTGATCAATAAAGATCAGTCATTAAAAATGAAAGGCATTGAGTTTTACAGATTGCAATTTTCATTATATGTGGGAAAGCTCTGCACATGGTAGGACTAAATACTAGAATAATTTGAAAATCCAACATGAAAGTCTCCACTGAGCATAGAGTCAAATTTGAATACTTCTCTACATTTTCCTAATTTTCTACCATTCTTTCTGTCTCCCACCACTCTATTTGATGAATCAATCTACTTTCTTTATGGCTTTCACCTGATCTGTGAAAGGAAACACACTACTCTAAACATAGAGGGAAACACCATATGTAGCTGCCTTGCTCTGTAATTGTTCACATGAATCTTTCTTCAAAACTAACTCAGTTTTCCACAACTTACACCATGATTTTGCTGCTCTTAATTCTTTGAAGTCCCATCTTACGTAAGAATTTTGCAATAAACATACAAGAAAACAAAGCTTAAGTCCTTTATTCTTGTAACAAATGTGTTATTCTCAATAAGCCTTTGTACAATAATCACTTCCTTAAGAAAATGTTGTTCTCACTTACAGACAAACCCTCTGCCACCGAACACTCTAATTTAAGATGCACCTCAGACACAAGGATCCTATCCCAATTTTCCATTCTGTGTAACTAATTGACTGAAATTTCTAATGGTGGCTTCCGTATAATCATATTCCAAGCATATATCAATGATTTAATTTTAACAAATCTCATTTATTTTTTGATGTAAAAGTGGTAGCAATACAGATTAAGGAACAAAGGGGTAGATGAATGATGTCTACTCATAGACCAGCATTCTGTGTTTGAGTTTACATCTAATTCCTCTAAGTTTCTTAACTGAAATTTCTAAATTCCCTTAGAGATACATGAGGTATTTTGTGATTGTTTTAAAATATGTGACCTTTTGTTGCTATATTTAATAAGGGTTTCTCCACTATAACTTCTTCTTAGTAATTATCTTTGTATGGAGTCACATCATCAACAAGGCTAAACCCAGATCGTTGCTTGACTGATAAATACAGTTTTATTTTAATATAGCCATATCCACTTTTTTATTTGCCACAGTGTGCTTAATTATTGCAAAAGAGATTGTAACAACTGTTACATCTAAGTCGAAGGTATTCACCAACATGGTTATGCTCTTGAGTCTATGATTAGAACATGTAGTATTTTCAGTGTAAGATCACCTGCAATGCCTCAGGTCATAGGATAAAGATGATTTTATTAATAATAATCGTATCCAGTATTTTATTATTTGGTGTAATTGGTGTGTTCTACAATCACTTGACTAAGTCAAATCCTTTTTAAATAATTTTCACATTAGTTGGACACATCAGTGAGTTCCCATGAGATTTACTACTACAGCTCACTGGTCATGTCTGGCTGTGCACACTCCACTGTGGCTTTTTGACCAACAGTACCCAGACCCACTGCATCACTATCTACTTGCAGTCATGTCTTTCCTTAAGTTTTCATGTATGACAGAAAACATATGGTAGCTGCATTTCCGTTTCTGGCTTCATTAATTTAATGTGATATCCTACAGTTTCATATATTTGCTTGCAAATGATGGGATTTTACTTTTCCTTTTAGCTGAGTAACACTCCATTCTGTATATATGTTTTATTTCCCTTCTGTGTTAGTGTGCAATGAGTAGCAAGGCTGGTTCTATACTTACCAATGTGTAATACCACAAACCAGCAAGTCTCTCTTTTGTGTATTTTTTCTCTCTAGCATGCACTGAGGACTGAGAGACAGGAAATACTGTTGTATCTCAGTCAGTTAAGTACTGCATTTTGTTTTGATAACTGTGATAAATACTTTGCAGCTCTGCCAACAGGATACATATTTCCTTTATTTTTCTAGGTACCATCCCTACTGTTTGCCACTTTTAAGGTAGATATTCTAACTGCAATGATACAGAATCTCACTGTCAGTTTTTATTTACATTCCTTTAGTGGATAATGGTTTTCAAGTTTGATCCAAACATTTATTGTGCATTTCTTTGTCTTCTTCTGAAAAGCATGTATTCAATTTGTTTATCAATTTTCAACTGGACTGCTTTTTCTATTACTGTGTTTTGAGTTCTATATGCATTCCAGACATTAACTTATATCAGAAGTATAACTGGTCCCATAGGGGTCCGCTGGAAGTGGAACTAGTATTTATCCTTAAATGCACAAATGGACTTTAGAAGCCCATTCCCAGTGGAGGGATACTCTCTCAGCCTACATACATGGGGGAGAGCCTAAGTCTTGTCCAAAATGATGTGACAGACTTTAATGATCCCCCAAGGGTGGCCTCGTATTCCCTGAAGAGTGGATGGGGGTGGGATGGGGTGTTGGTGGAGGGAGTGGCAGGAAGGGAGGGAGAAGGACCTGGAAATGGTATGTAAATTAAATTAAAATTGTTTTTAATTTAAATAAAATTATTTTAAAAAGAAGAATAGCTGGACAACCTTTTCTTCAATCACATTTTGTATCTATGCTTTATTTTTTCCTTGGCTGTGAAGAAGTATTTTAGTTTCATGTAAGCCTATTTTCCAACATCTACTGCTTCTTGGTCACATGTGGATTGTAAAGATCAACCTCAGTTTTATGCTTGCACAGAAATCATTTACCCCAGTGAACCACATTTCCAGTCCATGTCTGGAAAAAATAATAATTGTATCAATTTGTATTGCTTATGCTTGTAAAGTATTGTTTAAAATTTCATCCATATTTACTGCTTAGAGCAGAATGTGGTTAGGGTACTGATTTCTATTCCATTTACAAGCCTTGCTAAACTGTGAGACCTGGGTAAGTTCAGAGTTTTGTTCTCAATATTTTACTTAGGAAAACAAGCCATGTGAGGGGGTTGCTCCCAATAAGTAGCATCTGATTATACTCTGGCATCTATTATTAGAGCATATAGTATTTTCAGTGTAGGGTCAACTAAGTTCCATGGCCCATTGTTTCCTTGTGTCTGTCATCATGATTGGTGATCACAGTCACTTTCTCAGTAGCAAAATATGCAATGTAGAAAACAAAACCAAAATGGCCAATCAGAGAGTTTTCTGTACCAGCCTGCAAATTTTCTGTGAAAATGTTGATACGAAACTTGGCAACAGTACCAAGGTTATCAACCAACAACCAAATCAGCTTTGGCCATTCTAACTCCAATATTCACAACTCAGTAGGATGCTGTATGTTTGCTGGAAGTGAGATTATTGTAAAGCTTCTTCCCAGAGTGTAGTGTACTGGGGCCTGCAAAGCATTCATCTCCAACTTTATTCTGAGTATCTGATGAATTAGAAATGAGACTCATCAGGACAATTTCTTCATTAAAATAGTACCAGTGATCACTGGCATTAAATGGACAGTGTTTGCCTCAAATACAGAAGTCTCAGTGTTCTCCATTGGTAGGTCCATGACAAGTAGCAATAGGAAGCTGAAACAATTTAAATTTTCTTTTATCGTGTTTGAAATATATTTACAATTTATTTATTTTAGCTTTGATTGTTTTCCCGCATGTATGTATGTGTACTACATGCATGTTTAGCACCTGAAAAGATCAGAGGAGTATGTAGAATTCCCTGTACCTGGGGGAACCATCATGTAGTTGATGGGAATTGAACGTGTGTTGTCTTCCAGAGCATACAGTACTCTGAACCACTGAGTCATCACTCCATCCCTTCTTCTTGTCATCTGAAACACCCTGCCCAAGGTTGTCCTGGACCTCATGATGTAGGTCACTGAACTTGTGGTAATCCCCATGACTCAGCCCCCTGACTACTGGGATTATGAATCACCACACCCAGCTTGTTTTGCAAATAGATGAAAAGACTCTATCTGTGCACATAAGCACACAAAAATTTGACCATATCAAATCATTTTCAGAGATTTTTGTGGTACCATTTGGTTACAATTAATGTTTAAGGATATTATACCACATATAAAATAGAGTGGATAGTCAGTCTTTTATGCAGAAATACCATTTAGTTACAGTGTTGATGCATTGTTTAGTGGAATTATTTAAATAAAATTAGTTGAAATGAGTGACCTGGGTTTCTAAAGGACAAAACCTACTCAGGTCTCAACATTCAACTTTCTTTATGAAACCATACACTCACTAGATGTCTAATTCTTTAGAATTACTTCAACAATAGCCACAAAATAATTTATGAAGTTGCCAGTCCTTTTGGGCTTGGTATATAAGCAAAAATATGATCTTCCCAGTCGTCCTTTCCTTGGGGCTTCATCCTAAGGTGGTAGAATGGCTCTATTATTGTTTTATTGTAACTATTTAAAAAAATTTAGGCCCTCAGGATCTCATTCAAACTTTTGTTCCTAAGTACCTCAGATGGAATCAAATATCATGAAATATTTAAAGATCATACTCAAGCTATGAAAGAACACTTTGGGAGGGCAATAGGAAAAAAAGGCTGATGATAAGAAAGCATAGAAATGTAGCCAGGACTATGAAAAGTTTAGACTACTAGGGAAAATGTTTTCTGCATACCTTAACTACATTTGGCAATTCGGTTTAATGTATTCTTTTTCAGAACATGATTGTGGAGGCTGCTGAGAATACCTTGTGCTGACAGTCACTTATATTTTCCAGGTGAATGAAAAATTTAGGGAGGGAGTTGAATATGAACAGAGCATGTTCTCTTTAATGGGAACTGATGCACATTATGTTTGTGGATCTCTATATTATTTTGAATTTGAAGTTATACCTATGGGTTGGAGTAAAGGAAATAGTTGATTTATGCAATATCCATAGAACCAAAATGTGGCTGCTGTGGTTTCAGATTATAATAGAGTTCAAATTTATTTGGGGCATGAAAAAATGAAGTACCAGTTCCCCTGAAATAGTGACTCTTCTGCTTGCATTCCATAGCTTCCTTTTTCCTCCTCTGGCCTCCCTTTAGAATTTTCCCCATT